TTTTTTTTTTTTTTTTAGAGATGGAGGTCTCAATATGTTGCCCAAGATGTGAACTCCTGAGCTCAAGGGATCCTCCCGCCTCAACCTCCTGAGTAGCTGGGACTACAGGCATGTGTACCACTGCACCCAGCTGTACATACTATTTCGTAATCTGTCCCTTTCACATAGTAAAAACACTCCATGAGCATTTTCCCACACCACAAAATGTGCCTCTCTTAGACGTTTTCATAACTGCCGGGTATTGCACGAATTGACCTGCCAAATGTTAACTAATCCCATAGTGCTGCTCGTTTAGTTTGATACCAGTTTTTCACCATTATTTTAAAAATGCTGTGTAAACATCTTGATACATATCAAATATCCTCAAGATAAATTTCTAAAAGTTGATACCTTCTTCTATGACTGTTGATAGATGTTGCCACGTCACTCTACAACACTGTGTGGCCAGTTTCTGAATCCAATGGCAAAGCACCCGTTTCCCTGCATCTTTCCCGATGCTGGCTATTATCTTGAGGGAAAACCTGTCTGGCAAAATATAGTATGCCATTGCTGCTGAAATTTACATTTCTTTGATCATTAGCGAGGTTCAATATTTTTTCTGTATGTTCATTGGTGTTTTGAATTTTTTTTTTCCAAAACGTCTATAGATGTGATCAATCTACTTTCTCCTTAGCGTTTCATTCTTTTATTTATTGACAAGAGCTCTTTATATATTAAGAATATTAACCCATTTGGGGACACACTACTACAAACCCTTTGAAGCAAATAACGTTGCCAACATTTTCCACAGTTTCTCTGTGGCCTTGTAATTCTGTGGATGGTGGTGTTTTTAACACACCAGTTTTTGGCCAAATCAGTCTCTGCTTTCCTCTTTGGATTCTGACATTGTGTGGATACACAAAAAAGACTTCCCATCCCAAAAGCTGACACATATGCGCTTGCATTTACATTGTGTTCTCTTATGTTTTTCTCTTTACAGGTAAACGTGTAATAGAGCCACATTGTATTTTATGGATGATGTGAGGCAGTGACCTAACTTGTTTCCTTGTAGTTCCCTGACCGTCTCAGCCTCATCTGGGAGCAGCCTGTTCTTTCCTTTCTGATGTCACTTTGATCATGGTCTAAATGCTGATAAGACAGTGGCTCTGCCCTCTTTCTGCCTGTAGGTTATTAAATTATTTTATTTAGCCTTTTACATTATTGTCGTTTTATAAGTTATTATTACATCTAAGGGAATGCGCTCTCCCTTCTGTTTTTTTCAAGAATTTACTCTTCCAGGTAAACATCAAAAATATTTTGGCAAGTTCCAAAATGGAAATTCAACTAGGATTTTGGAATGACATTAAATGTGTAGATTAATTCACGAAGAATTGATGCTTTTACAGTATTGAGTCAACACATCATCTTCTCATTTGCTTGCGCTGTTTTTGTATGTCCCTCAGCGATGTTCGCATTAAACAATTTCTAAAGTCCTTTCAAGTCCCGTGAGTCTGGAGTTACAGGCGCACGCTCACAGCTGAGAGCTCTAGACTGGAGATCCAGACGGTTGGCAACGTGAGCTTTGCGAGAGTGAGGTCAAGCCCTGAACCGCTTCGCGTCTCCGCCCTGCAGAGGAGGTCAGGCCACCCGCGCTGGGGCCGAGGCTCCGGGCACTGCCCCCCAGAGGAGCCCCCTTGCCTCAGACCCCCCGCAGGCATTATGTGATCTTGGCTGCTCTCATGTCACGGGAAGGATGGCTACGGGTGAACTCAGACTCTCCGACTCAAGGTCACGCATAACCCACGCAACCTGATTCACAGAACACAGCGCGGGTGATGGCAGGAGATGGCTTTCTTTAAAAACTAAAAAAGTGCTCACATTGCTTCAGTATTAAAATATTTAGGTTCCAACGCCTCCACTGACAGTTAAGAAAAAAAAAAAGCTAAACAAATTTACAGCCTAAAGAGTGTTGGAAAAATCAGGCGAGTTTTCATTAATTTCTTAAATTATACAGGAAGACTCACAGCCACAGAACCCCTGGTTTCTAGAACTAATGAAGCAAAAGTGCAAAAAAGAATTTTTTTAACAGCCTTTTGCTCCCTCAAGTCCTTGTTACGGCCAGCCAGGTGCTGGGCTGGGCTCTCGGAAAGAGCAAACATCCGCGGACGTGAGCAGCGCCGCAGGAACCGGCAGCCGCTGTGCCCGAGAGCTCCCTCGCTTGCAGTGCTGGAAACCGAACTAACATTTTCTGAACTTTAGCTAAATTCATACCTCCTTATTTTTTCTTTATTTGGATGAGGAGGAATTGTGAGCCCATTGATTGCTTTTTCCAGTACAAGGGCTGGTAATTCTGTTTTGAGTCCCTTTTTGAAGCGGGAAGAAGGTTGGAGCTCCGTCTTCACTCAGCACTGAGAAAGACCTCTGCTTTTAATATTGCATTACTGAGCAATCATTATAATCTCACCCATGAATTTGCAGCTGCTATCAGTATGTGGTCCAAAGCTTTTAGAACTATTCAGGGGAACAGCTCGCACCGACTTCTCGCTGGAGAAAGCGGGACTTCCAATTACACAGGAAAAGTGCAGCAAAATGAGGAACATCTCCCTAATTAGCCTGGCCTCACTGGTGTGTCGCTCTGGTGCAGACGTGAAAATTTAGAAAGAAGACGGGGGGCGCTCTGAAGCGAGCCCAGGCCACCAGTTCTTCAGGTCTGCTCTTTCTGCCATGGCGGGGGATGGTCGATCACCCAGGTGCTGAGAAACAAAGTCCCCGAGGAGCCCCTAGCACAGCACCCACGCCCCATTAGAGTAGCCCCAAGTTCTAGGGAAAGGTAGCCATGGAGGCCCATGTTGGTCCACACTGGCCCACTCGGAAGAGAGGGCGCCTTGACCAAGGCCTCTGCGTCGGGGTGGGTCGATCCTACAGCAGCCTCAACGTGGAAGCTCCAGGCTTAGCAGTCAGAACGGAGCTTTCCCAGAGCTCTTAAAGAGGTTATTTGCCCGGTTGCACAGTGGACGGCACTTCCAAGGGGAAATAGCAATTTTGGCCGAGGACACTTTAACGGCTGCGAATTCTGGCAAAGCAAGAAGTCATAAATCAGTAAACAGCATCCAGCGACTGCCAGGATGGGACACTAAGACATTCACAACAACCCTGCGTTGTGAGGGTCGTGGGCCTGACGTCCAGGAGTGGCTGGATGCGGAGGTATCAGTCAACCCCTAATTAGAATACATTATCCATCTTCCTGACACTTCAGTGAAATGTCTGTTCCACGCCGGAGCTGCCGCTTTGTTCAGAGCAGGTTAATTGATATTCTGATGCCTTCGCTCGCCATACCCCCGTGGCTTGGTTCTGTTTTATCACACATCAAAAAGGCCGTATGCTCAGGGCACTCCGAGCACCAGCGCAGAGCTGGAGGTCTGCACAGCTGCGAGGGGTGTGGTATCACAGGAGGGACAAGCACCGAGCAGATGTCACAGATGAAA